CACCTGTCGGCTCTCAGAGTGGAATTCCCCTGAGGACTTGCAGCCGATCGGAAACCCAGAGGGTAGGGCCTGGTAGTTGGTGTTCTCACAAGCCCAGAAGAACCGCCCTGCTGAGCCCTGGTCTAAGCCTTGACCCACAGAATCAAATGACTATAGCCCTGGAACAGTGGCGTGCATGTGTCTAGTGGGCATGTGTATGCAGATAACTACCTCTGGAAACTGTGAGTTCTTTCCCATGACAACTAATATATCGCTATGGTTTTTAACAACTAAGTTTGGGGTGGTTTGTTATACGGCAATCCATAAATAAAATAACCAGAGGCCCAAAGAAATCTTAGGCCACTAATAACTAAGACTAGAGTGTAATGGTGCTTACAAGGCCTGTAGGCTGCTGACTTCGTATGTACGCAGGGAGTCTGTCAGAAAGGTTCCTAACTAGAGAAGTTGGAAGTGAAGGCATGAGTGAGCGGTTCCTGCCCGCCTCCCACCAGGGAGAGGGTGGAGGGCCCTGCTTCCCAGGGAGGCCTTGGCTACTAATGGCCACGAGCCTCTTCCAGAGCACTGGCCTCCTCACGTCTGTCAAAATGTGAACAGCAGGAAATGGGCATGGCTCCAGTTCACTGCTGTTTTATAAATGCCAGCATTTAACAAGCAGAAATGCGCATTCATGTCCACCAAAGACACACACCAAGAGTGTTCACACAGTGTTTATTCCTAACAGGCCTGGCTGGAGACCACGCAAATCCTCATCTGCAGGAGAATGGATAAATTAACTCCCATCCAGGAGAATTCTTAGGAATGAAGTCAAGTGAACTCCTGAGACAGATAGCTAAATGAAGCTCAAATGTAGCTTTATTACTGAGTGAGAGAAGCCAGACCCAGCAGAGTCCGTGTCGTGCCAAAAGTCCTGACCCAGCAAACCCCGAAAGTGGTGAAGAGGTCCTGGCAGTGGTTCCCGTGGTGGGAGGGGTGGGTGACTGAGAGGAGGCCACGAGAAGCGTGCTGGGAGGTGGGAAACGCTCTCCAGCCTGGCCTGGGTGGCTATGTGGGTGTACGCATACACAGGTAAACATTCATCTGACTGCACACTTGAGACCTTTTGCACCTTTTACACTCTGTGAGATGTCAGCAAAACAACAAAGAAATGACCAATAACGCCTCAGGTCAGAGAGGAGATGAACTCTTTGGCAACTAGAAGAATTTCACAATCGTGTCTGCTGATGAGCGAATAAGAAAAATCTCTAAAGGCCATTCTCTATGGGTGAACAATCTGATCCTTAAGACAGGATAACAACGCTGTATTTATGAACCTCACAACCAAGTAGAAAAAACTGTTCCCAATGAAGAAATGAATGACGATAATAAGGAGGCCCAAGAAGACCTCAGTTGGCTAGTGAGTCGTGAGAATGGAATACATAAAACCTGCTTCTTGTTCTGCTGTGTCTCAGAACGAGATGACCGGAGCAAACCCACACTCACTGCCTTCAGGGTGACTCAACAGGGCAGCAGGACAGGGTGGCACTGTCCCTGTGGGTTTCCAAGACTCTC